TATTACATAATAAATTCTCTCTTACATATTAAAATTATAAAATTTCTTTTCTTCTCCAGAATATACATGTTTAATACAAAATTTTTTCGGATAATTTATTTACAATCTAACGAAACAGTAATTTTAAACTTATTATTAATTTCATATTTTTGTTATAATATAAAATATCAGTCACGAATTTTATTTCATATTTGTTATGTATGTGTATTATAGTATTTATTTAGTATTTATTATTAATAGTATTTATTATGTTATTTAGTATTTATTATTAAAATATAATAATTTTTTTAATTATTATTCTTAATTTTACAATGTTTTCTACAATATTTTTTACATATAAACCATTGCAATATTTATGATTCATACTGATTACAAAGATGATGCTCATGAAAAAAATATGTTATGCAGAGAGACTTTCTGCATCATGCGCAAATAATTACAGTTTTCATCATAAATATCGTATGTTGATTTCGAATGTTTTTTAAAGCAAAAATCGACCAAAGTTTCAAATTCTACTGATCTATGTTCCGAATATCCACTTTTATATCAAGCATATTTAAACAAATTAGTAAATCTTGGCGATGAAAATTGATTGTGCGTTAATGATTGTAATTTTAAAATAGCATTTCTAGAATGAAGTTTTACATCAAGATCTAAAAGCATAACTATATCTGCTTGAAATTCTTCCACAAATGGAATCTAACGGTTGTATTTTTCTTGTTGTTCCAGCCGATATAGTTAATAGAGCAATACCTTTTTTTGTAGAATCTGGTCTATTTCTTGAATTATATCCGGACAATGACCAGTCCACGAATCTAACAATAAAACTTAATTTGATCCAACATTTGGAAAATATACTTCCCTTACCCAAGTTTCAAAATGATTAAATGTTAGTTCACCAGATTTTAACATCATAATAAAAATATTATTTGTATTGATAAACATCGTTTATATAGGGTATTTCTTATACCCTAGGACTTAATGTTCCACTAGGTTCTTTTAACATTATAAGAACTGAAGATAATAATCTACTATCGACTAAAATAACAGGTTATATTGTATAACTGTGCGTGCGTAATCACAGATATTGACACTCTTTACATTTTTTACATCTTTCTTTGTTAATATACGACCAGTAATGGTACAGATATGTAATTCTGATTGAAAATCACTTTGGTCCAAATTATATACATTTTCAATTCCATAGCGGTCAATATAATATTTGACGTTTTCCATAAACCTATTACTGTCTGTTTGTAAAGCTTTCTTTGACATTAAAGCTTTTTTAGTTATTAAATTTCGTAACTTTTCTAGATACAATTTGATGCGCAAGCTTGAATCTTCAGATTATAAACAAAAAATTATTTTCAGAGTATATTGTTCATTTAATTTTGACCAGCTAATTGCGATGTATAAAGTATTCGAATACATTTTTTGCTCACTGTATATATGTATATTAGAGTCTACGTAATGTCTTACTGTCACAAAACTATGCAGATAGCATAGGAAATAAATATATTAACCCATAGTTTTGTCTGTATGTACTGTTAACACGAATAATGCATTAATAAGATCCGTCAGAAAATTGATTTGCTTACATATGCAGTACATGCAACAACAAGAAATTGATTCTTATTGTCATTTACATTGACATGAATCGTGCACAAGTTGTAATAATTCTCATCGACTATCGAAGGTATATTTAATAAAATAAAAAGAAAAAATATATTAAAATTTTATTTAATTTATGATTTTAATTATCAGTTTGAATACACTCAACTTTAGAGTTTATAACTTTATGGTAGATAGAAGATTTTCCGAAGAAATATTCCACATAAAGTTTTCTTATTCTTTCCTGTGCAATCTAAGTATGTAACATTTTATAAAAAGGTCCTATTTGAAATTATTATCCCCCGCCACCTTTCAAGAGAGATAGGACGAATTTCCGTTAAGTTGTTAAAAATAAATTTTTTGATATGATAAATATTTTTAGCTACATTACACACGCACACTCTAATATCACATATGTATATGCCCAGCAAACATAACTTGACATTATTATATAATTTTTTTGTCATTATTAAGATGTTTTATAACAAGACAACTTTATGACGTAAATGAGATATCCTGATATAAATACGATAATTTTGATACATGTCTTTGTTATATATTTAGCATATAACGTAATTATGTAAATTAAATGTAATTAAATTACATC